GGTTGAAGATCATACAATTTTTGCAATTTCCTGGGTTTGAGCAAAATTTCCCTCTTATTTATGAGTTGATATTAAGGTGGAACATTTCAAAACAATGCTTTGTTCTAAAAGGTGACTCCATTCCTTTAGAGGCTATGTTCACATCTACACAGTGGTTGAGTTGTGCTTGGGCGAAGAAGGCTGAGGGAAAAGATATTAAAAAGATTGTTTTAAATGACAGGTTTTGGCAAAGTGTCTTATATGCCATTACAACCATTAGACCTTTAGTTCATGTTTTAAGGATGATGGATGTTGAGAAGAAGCCTGCAATGAGTTTCATCTACAATGCCATGGATGAAGCCAAAGATATGATTGCCTCTAACTTAGGAGGCAGTGAGGGAAGCTTTAGAGAAATTTGGAATATTATTGATGATAGGTGGGAACTACAGCTTCACCGACACTTGCATGCCACTGGCTACTACCTAAACCCTCAGTATCAATATGCAGAGAACAAATCTACAAACCCTGAAATAAAGTTGGGATTATATCATTGCATGGATCGTCTAATAAGTGATGCAACTGAAAGATCAAATGCTGAATTGCAATTGATACCTTTTAGGAACAAAGAAGGTTTTTTTGGATTACAACAAGCAAAAGATACAATTGCAAAACGATCTCCAGTTGAGTGGTGTATTCAATTTGGTGATAGGACTCCAGAATTACAGCATTTTACTGTGAAAGTTTTGGGTTTGACATGCTCTTCATCTGGCTGTGAAAGAAATTGGAGTACCTACAACCAAGTACATACAAAGAGGAGAAATCGCTTGTCGACATTGAGGATGAACTCACTTGTGTACATTATGTACAATATGAGACTTAGAGATAGAAATTTGAAAAAAAAAAAGATTAATGGATGATGAAGATCCTTTGCTTTGCGATGATGTGGCATCTGATGAGGAGTGGTTTGTAGATGATGAAGTTAAAGTGATGCCGTCTGTATTACAAGATGAAGATTTAAATGTTCATTTCTTTGATGGTCTTAAAGCATCCACATCCACCAA